AGTGCAGCTGCCCCCCCCCTTTCTTTAGGGTAAATTGGCATGTTTGTACATGTAAGCTCTAGGTGTGATAACTTACTTCAACTGTGGAAGTTCATTGATGTGAAGAGAGATGAGTCATTTTAAAACTAGCCAGAGGAGGAGCTAGAGAGATGGCTCAGTGGTTAAGAACATTGGCTGTTCTTCCAGAGGACCTGGGTTCAATCCTTAGCACCCACATGGTAGCTCACAACTGTTTGTAATTCCAGTTCCAGGGGAATTACACCAATGTACATAAGAAGAAATTTTAAAATTGAAAAAAAAAAAGTAAATAAAATAAAAGACTAACCAGAAGAGTGTAAATTCTAGTGAATGGTTTGGACAACCTGGACACAGAGATGCCAACTATAGGTATAGTTACTTTTTTTGTTGTTTTGTGGAGTTTGGGATTAAATCTATACCTTTGCACATTCTAAGCATGCCTTCTACCACTCAAAGCCCAGGTATAATATCAAGTGCCTGGAATGTGGTACATGATAGCTGGGTTTTGTTTTGGTTTTGAAGTGGGGTCTTACTATGTAGCCCAGGCTAACCTTGAACTCATGATCCTGTGTGAGCTTCCTGAATGCTGGAATTACAGGTGCATACCATCTCCTATAATCCAGCCTGCTGCCAGAAGGACAGACACATGGAGGTATTGCAACGGTGCTTAGGTCTTTGCTCCCTATTTCTCCTGTATTGGAAGTGAGAGATTCTACAGCAAGGGAGTGGGCTCTGCAAGTGGCCCCCGGGGCCTGTGAACAGGGGACCTTCCTGGTTTAAAATTAAGCTTGCAGGGCCACTCAGGCCATTCAGTTCAGTGACCTGGTGGATGGCTGAAGACATGCTCCCGACTTCCTGTATTGACTTTATCTAAAAATCCAGGTAGCACCTAACAGAATGTTAATGGGCAGGAACATTGGACCAGGGTCTGACAAAGACTCCAAGTGATGATAAGTTCCCTTTTCTGCAGAACAGTTACACAACAGCTACCCCGTTCTTCCAAGGAAGCAACCTGGGAGAATTCAGCATAGCACAGACAGAACTCAAGTGCAGGGCGGGCAGTGTAGAAGAACTCCTGAGTAACCTAGAACCAGGCTTTTTAGTTCCTGAAAAGAGAGGGGAAAAGCAAACATGGAAGACTGTGTTTTCTGTGGTTGAAGCAGTGTTTGCGAGCAGGACTCTTGCTTGTGTGCCAAGGATGCTTCTTTAATGGGGCTCCCTGGCTCCCGGGGACTGAAGCCTAACTTAGACCAACTTCAGAGCCTGGTAAGACTCACAGGATCAAGGGAATGTTGCAGGAGCCTAGGCACTCTGGGTACTGGGTCAGGGCCGGCCCTTGAGGCTCCTCTGCATCCAGACCTGCCTCAGCTCTCTTTGTGAGAAGAGTTCCTACCTCTACAGTAGCCATTCCAGCTCCAGAAAGGCCCAGGGAGCCCAGGGAAGAGTCCAAACCCATGCATCCTTCTGCATCAGGGAAGGGTTTTGAGAGTGGCTGTCCATACCAGGGCTGTGTGAAGCTTAAGATGAAGCAGTTACTGAGATGGGGAAACACTGTTTAGGGAGGATGGAACACCCCATATGCCATATGAGGAAAGAGACCTCATGTCCCAACTGTGTACTCAGGTTCCCAAAGCCGAGCAGAATAGATTTACTCAGCTGAGACAGGAGTTAGCTCATAGTAGGCAGTAAGGGAAAGGGGCCCATGGTAAAAACTACACATCTCCCTTATATGCTACCGTGGGAGTGGGCGTTAAGGTGAAAAGGGATTATTAGGGTTTAAAAAATGAAGTCAGGAGCACTAAAAATAGACACAAAGATACTTAAGATGTCCAAGTGGACCACAAGAGACAATTAGGCTCTAAGAAACAAGGCCAGTGATAGCAGGTTTGCTGGATAGCTTCCAAAAGCCCTTTCCCCTTTGGGAGATACATGTTAGTTTCTGTTGCTTATTACATAGTCTTGCTTTCAATGCAGCTAATTATAATAGTCTGACATGTAGTATGGATTCCTGATAACATGCTAGCCCAGTTTCTGGAAAGAGATCCCAGACTGTACTGTAGACAAAGCAATAACCAAGAACATCGCTGCTGCTTCTTGGTAGCTTTGAGAATGAAGAGCGCTCCATTTAATTAAGGGCACTTGGGACTCCCTACAGGTTGTCTGATGGTCAGCAGGAAGTCAAGATGAAGGCTAACAAAGCCTGGGCACTCAGTATAATTAACGGTTAGCTAGCTGCCTGCAAATGGGGAGGAAGTGACCTTAGCCAGATAACTGACAGCTTGCACATAGTCATGGCCAAATAAGCCAGAGTCAGAGGTGGACAAAAGGGCCCTCAACTAACCTTCACTAGGGGCAGGGCATGGACATCCGATGGTTGTCCCACTGTGTGGACCAGGGGAACATGCTGAGCGTGTGTGGGCCTTCCTTTGACTTCACACATGAAGTGGTTCCAGAGAAGGAACCACTCTCAATAGAGACTGCCTCAGTCTTTTGTTCAACATCTGCCACTGCCCTATAAAAACCTAGGCAAAGGAAATGGTTCTTCTGTCTTGGAAACTCTACCTTCTCTCAAGAGTTTCTTATCTCTTTTTCTAGATTTTTCTGTGATAGTTCTTAATAAAGACTGCTTCCACGAGTGGCTATCGGCGTCATTACTCTTCACTGGTGTAAGACAACAAGCTCAGCGCCACCACCCCAAGTCAGTTCCCTGATAAACTCTAATGCCCAGCATCTTGAGCCCTTAGCTCCTGTACAACTGGGCTATGAAAGGTATCATCACAATCAGCATTAGTACTTTTAAACTTTGTACAGGTGCCTAGGATATAATGTTCAGCGAAGAGGGCAGATCATTGAGTATTAGGAACTACATGTCCCTGCCTGTATGTGTTTGGATGAGTATTTTACCTGCATGTGTGTCCGTGCACCGTGTACATGCAGTGCCTACAGAGGCCAGGAGAGGTCATCAGATGCTCTGGGACTGGAGTTACAACAGTCGGGAGCTGCCGTGTGGGTGCTGGGAATGGAACCTGGATCCTTTGGAAGAGCTGCACCTGCATTGTGTTTTTAATTAGAAAAACATCAGTAAAGGAAAAAAGAAAGAAAGAAAAAAGAAAAGGAATCTGTTTCCAGTTGACTCCAAGAGAGCTACGGGTGTGGGAACTGTGTTCACAAGAGCAAAATGTCCTTGTGTACACAGATAGGCACTAGGGAAGCCTGGAAAGATATGTTCACAGGCATCCTTCAAAGCACCATTTTACCTGTCTTCCTAGAGTGCTGGGAGGGGATGTAGTTTATACTCTGGTGATCCTTCGCCATCTATTGAGCCAACCTCTGCTCATATCCCCCAGAATTTATGCTTTACGCATCCCAGGCCCTTCTACCTAAATCTTGGGCATTGCTTCTAGGGGGTAAACCCATCCTTACGGCTTTACAATAATAGCTTAAGTGACGTCTGTGTTATCCTAGGCCAGTCCTGACTTCCTTGGGCATTATGTTTGCCTCAGTCAGCCTCTTAGTTCCTAAATCTTGGGCTCATCTCTGACTCAGCAGTACCCATCTCCTCTGTGAAATAAGCTCAAACATGCCTTAAGCTCTGCTGTACTCAGGGTACTGAGTTTTTTAATGGTGCTGTGCCGAAATATGTCTAAAGTACAGCAGCTGGAAAAATGCTGCTACCAGGAAGCACAGCTCAATTCTGTTCTGTTGTGTTTACAATCCCTTCTTAAGCGTTTGTCAGGTTTCATATGGAAATTCTTGCCAGATGTCTGGTACCCCATGTAGATGGAAAGTTTCTGTCTCACAGGGCCCTGCAGCTGTTTAGTTCCAAACAAACACACCGAGGCTTATATTAACTATAAACTGTTTGGCCAGCGACTCGGGTGGCATCAGGTTGGTGGCTACCTCTCTCTTAATTATTAATCCATTACTATTAACCTATGTATTTCCACATGGTTTTGGCTTATCGGAGAGTGCTCAGGCATCCTTCATTCCCAGTAGCTACATGGCATTGTTCTAGCAACTCCTCGTTCCTCTTCCCCGAATTCTTCTAGTCTGTTAACTCCACCTACACTTCCTATCTGGCTACATCCTGCCTGTCCATTGGCTGAAACAGCTTTACTCATCAACTAATAAAGGAAACATATTCACAGCATTCAGAAGGACATCCCCCTTCATCTCTGGGTTTGGGTGGTATTGTTAGACCAGGATGTTCTGGAGTTCATGGAAATCTGCCTGCCTCTACTTCCCAAGTGCTGGGGTCAAAGGCGTGCCAGCCTGTTGAAGTGGGTGTCTTAATCAAACTTAGGTCTCTAGCCAGCTTGTTCCCAGGGTTCCATTCCCACCTTCAGACGCAGTAATTGGAGGTGGACTGCCATGTCCACTGGCGATGTGGCAAGCGCGTTCGTCACTGCGCTAACTCATTTCTCCAGCCCCGGTTTGGTTTTTTTAATGAGCTGTAGTTTACTGTGGAGTACCTCTTTCTGTGCCAGTGCTCTGCTTTATTTAAGGGGGCAGTGTTTAACCTTCCTTTTGGCCACTTTTTTTTTTTTTTTTTTTTTTTTTTTTTTTTTTCCCACATGTGAATTTGTAAGGCTTTCTTATGAAGCTTTCTTCATAAGGCCATCATGAAGATGGCCTCTGGGTTTGTGGGATGATTGGTAGGGATCCTGTATCTGTGCCTGGAACATATTCTTTATTCTTCAGTGAACAAATTCCCGGTTAACAGGGCTCTGTTAAATAGGCAAGGAAAGGAGGGATCGTGACAAATGCCGCCCCCCCACACACACATACCACACACACACACACACTCCCCCCCACACACACACACTCCCCCCCCCCACACACACACACACACACTCAGATGCTGTGTGAAGAGGGCAGCCTGTTGGAGTCAGGCAGACGAGAGGAAGGAAGCAGAAGAAAAGCATTCTATAAACCCATTTTCATGATTTCTCTGTCATTTCTGCTTTGTCCTGTCACACCAGGTTATCAACCCCATGGGGTGGGATGCATTTGGGCTGCCTGCCGAAAATGCTGCCATTGAGAGGGATCTGCACCCAGAAAGCTGGACCCACAGGTGAGTGTTTAAGGCATACTCAAACACTTGTCTACGGAAACCTTTTTAAAATATTTTTTAAAAAAAGGGACAAGCACAAATCCACTACAGCATTGGCCGATCGACAAGAGGTAAACAAACAGGAAGGTGTATATGGCGTTTGTCTGTTTGTTAGTTATTAGCTATGGGGGGAGGGGCATGTGTCACAATGTATAAATGGATGGAGGTCATGGTGCAGTTATGGAAGTAAGTTCTCTTCTTCCATCGTATGGGTTGTGGGGATCAAACTCAGGGGGCGAGGCTTGGAGGAAAACACCTTTATCTGTTGAGCCATCATACAGCGTTTTAAGTGTACTGTTTTGGCTAGTCTGGTTGCTCAGTAAGCTCTGGACCTGCTTGGCTCTGTCTGTCCCAAAGCAAGGGTTACAGCATGCAAGCCATGCCTGGCTTTTTATATGGATTGTGGGGATTTGAATTCAGGTCCTTGTGCTCACGAATTCAGTACTCTTGCCTCTGTCCCCCCCTCCACACACACACACACACTATCCCACACACGATATCCTCTCCCTCCACACACACACACAGTCCACACACACACTGCTCCCCCCCACACACTGTCCCCCACTCATCTCCCCCCACACACACTGTCCACACACACACACACTGTCCACACACACACACACACACTGTCCACACACACACTGTCCACACACACACACACACACTGTCCACACACACTGTCCACACACACACACACACACTGTCCACACACACACACACTGTCCACACACACACACACACACACTGTCCACACACACTGTCCACACACACACACACACACTGTCCACACACACACACACTGTCCACACACACACACTGTCCACACACACTGTCCACACACACACACACAGTCCACACACACACACACTGTCCACACACACACACACTGTCCACACACACACACACTGTCCACACACACTGCTCCCCCACACACACTGTCCACACACACACTGTCCACACACACACTGTCCACACACACACACACTGTCCACACACACACTGTCCACACACACACACACTGTCCACACACACACACACACACTGTCCACACACACACTGTCCACACACACACACTGTCCACACACACACACACTGTCCACACACACACTGTCCACACACACACACACTGTCCACACACACACTGTCCACACACACACACACTGTCCACACACACACTGTCCACACACACACTGTCTACACACACACTGTCCACACACACACACACTGTCCACACACACACTGTCCACACACACACACACTGTCCACACACACACACACTGTCCACACACACACTGTCCACACACACACACACTGTCCACACACACACACTGTCCACACACACACACTGTCCACACACACACACACTGTCCACACACACACTGTCCACACACACTGTCCACACACACACTGTCTACACACACACACACACACACTGTCCACACACACACTGTCCACACACACACACACACTGTCCACACACACACTGTCCACACACACACACACTGTCCACACACACACACACTGTCCACACACACACACACTGTCCACACACACACTGTCCACACACACACACACTGTCCACACACACACTGTCCACACACACACACACTGTCCACACACACACACACTGTCCACACACACACTGTCCACACACACACACACTGTCCACACACACACTGTCCACACACACACACACACACTGTCCACACACACACTGTCCACACACACACTGTCCCCCCACACACACACACTGTCCCCCCCCCTCCTCCCCATTATCCCCCCACTATCCCCCACACTGTCTCCCAGCCCCCTCCACCACCTTTGCTTTTTCTGCCCAAGGCTTCACAGCAGGAAAATCACTGTGTTCTCTCTCCATCACACAATTAATTCTAGATTAATGGAAGTGATAAAACGAAGAAAATGATAAAATGACAACTCTAATAAAGTAGATCAAACATGGCATAAGTTGATTCCCAGCGACAAGAACTAAATTAATTATTGCACCCCTCTATTATCCAATTTTGGGACAGTTTTGGTTCTGACTGATAGAACACTGTGTGGTTTCTTTTGAATTTGTACATTAAGAGGTAGGTGTGTGCTCACGTGTGCGTGCGTGAGTGCGTGCGTGCGTGCGTGCGTGCGTGCGTGCATGTAACGTTCACAGTTCTGGGGATTGAATCCAGTTCTTACACATGCCAGGCAAGCGTTTCTTTCACTGGTGTTAGTTTGTTTGTTTGTTTGTTTGATCGCTTTAAAACTTAAGTCAAGCTTGCTTGACTTAACTCTGTGTAGAACACAGATGTTTGGAGAGGCCAGGGTCACACATTCAAGAGGTTGCTTGTCAGAGTGGCCAGGGAACAGAGCTGCCTTCCAGGGCCAAGACCAAAGTGGCATGTAGTGATGAGCATGTCCGGATCATGGGTGCCTGCTTGCACATTGATGTTTTACTGGTTCTTAGGGATTGTCTTTATGTTTTTCTGCCAGGGCAAAGCAGCAGGTAAGGCTTCCCTGATTGAGCTAGACTTTTTTTAAGTTTTCTAAAACATCCTTAAACTGTAGTTCAGCTCTGGCCCTGACCCCTCTCAACATCAAACTTGTCTCGCTTTCTTTCACAGCAATATTAAATACATGAGGAAACAGCTTGACCGCCTCGGCCTGTGCTTCAGCTGGGACAGGGTGAGTCGGCCTTTCTTCCCGGGAGCTCTGCTCAGGGAAAGGCCTGACTGCATGGGGCTGGCCTGCCTGCTTGTGTTGGGAGAAGGGGGGGCGGGGCTGACAGGTCACACGAGGGAAGGCTTAGCACGCCACACACATAACAGAACCCGAGTGGGTATTTTGCTAGTGAACAAGTAATCGTCTGTGGGATTAAGCTAAGAGAGTTAACTTATTTGACTTCCTAATGGGCTGTGCCGTGTGTATGGCAAAGGCTCTGCACAAGGATTTCTGGCTCATAGAAACAGTTTCAAAGGATTATTGGAATCCTCAGAAAAGTGATTAGATATCAAACCTGCTGGTCCTCTGGGTGATTAACTGGCCATTTAGTTATATTTTGTCCTGTGTTCAGAGTCGGTACACGCACAGCCCACAGTGGTTCTGCCACATACGGTCTTTGGTCTCTGTCTCTGTCAGAAAGTTACACACCAGAGCCAGTGGGGAATCCCAGACTCAGGGGGGTTCACAGGGGACTACCTGGGAGTCATGCCAGCTGCCAGAAAGACCTTTAGAGGCCCAGGTGTAGGAGGAGCAAGCAAGCCTGGGTAAAGGCTGCTGTTTGTCCTTCAGAGAAAAGCCCGCTCTGTGCCAGGATCCCTCTCAGCACCCTGCTCACTCTACAGACTCAGTGGGACACATGCAACTTCAGTCTCCCCCCCCCCCCCCAGCGGCCTCTGGACGAGGCGAGGGCTCTGGGAAGAGACAAAGGCACGGGTTAAGGAGGCCTTGGTTGTGGTTTTTCCTCTCCCGTTCCCGATTACGTTGCCTGGAGCACCAAGTGGGGGTTTGAAGGCAGGAAGTGAAGTGCGGGCCGTCACAGAGCGCCCTCGGGGGTGCACATGCGGGTCCCTTGAGGGCAGAAATGGACAGTTGGCACTAACACCCGCCACAAATGACTGCCTAGACAGTTGCAGGGTTGCTGGGTACGGTGGTCAACGTTTAGTCCCAGAGAAGCGAAAGGTTGTTAGTATTGATTTTCGTAACTTACTCTCTGTCTCTCTCACTCTCTCGTTACCTCCCACCCTCCCCACCATGTGTGTGTGTGTGTGTGTGTGTGTGTGTGTGTGTGTGTGTGTGTGTGTGTGTGTGTACAGAGAGAGTTGAAAATGGCAGAAAAGGCAATGGAATTTTAATTGGTGGTTTTCAGGGTGAGGTCTTTGAGTGGATACAGGCTCTTAGGATTGCTCTTGCACTTGTTGATCTTTGGGGAAGATTACGGGAGCTTAAGGGAGGCTCCTGAAAAAACAAAACAAAACAAAAACAAAAACAAAAAAACAGAAACCCCCAAACCATCCTTTAGACCTCTGCTTACCCATCCAGAGTCCTCCTGGTTAGGGTATTGTCATCAGCACGGCCGTCTTGAGGCCACTTTGGACCTAATAGTTTTGTTGTTGTTGTCTGTTTTGTATCTTGGGATATTTTCTTTCAGTTTCACAATCACATTTATGACAGTTATTTAAACTTAACGATATTTAATATCATCAGGGTTAGATTTCTGAGGCAGCACAAAGAGATGGAAAGTAGAAAGAGACCAGACTTTGACCTTCAGCAGACAGACAGGCTGACAGCAAGAGGCAGCCTCTCTCTCCCATGGGGAATTGAGGGGTCTGCCAAGGGAAAATTTGGCTGTGACCCTTTACAGGGGTAGGGGTGAGGGACTTGAAAATGAGGATATTGTTGAAGCAGTAGGGGTCTACATGTCTCTCCTGCCTGAAACTGTTTGCCCGAGGTGCAACAGGCTATCCTTTCTGGGGTTGACCAATAAAGGCTGAACGTGGCCATTTGTAATTTTGTAGGAATCCGTTTTACAACCGAGACCCTAAACCAGACAGTAGATCCTTTAGAGTACATCTGTCCATTTAAGTTTGTTTTTTTAAAAAAAAAAATTATTGTCATTTGTTTTAGGACTTCCCATGACATCACATACTGTTTTCACAAACACACATGATTCCGATACATTCATGTAGGAGTTCACCTATAAACTCTGGTATTCCTGTACTTATCTGTCTTAGTGCCTATTGCTGTGAAGAGACAACGTGACCACAGCAACTCTTACAAGGGAAAATACTGAGCTGGGGCTGGCTTACAGTTTCAGATGTTTAGGCCATCGTCATCATGGCAGGGGCCCTGACTTGGGTATTTTAAACCCCAAAGTCCCACTGACTCACTTACTCCAAGGCCACACCTACTCCAATAAGTCCACTTCTTAATCCTTTTGAATAGTGTCACTCTCTAAGCATTCATACACATGGCCATTCTTACACAAACAACCCCTAGGGAGTTGGCAGGGCAGTACAGAGCTTTGCACAATATAGGGTCACAGTTTAGAGTGTTGTGTTTCCTTTGCTTGTTTCAGAATCTTCCCTGGACTGAGTTTTCTGCTGCCCTTTTCTATCTTTCTGACTGAGATGGTGTATGATTGGAGAGACCCAGCCCGAGGGGAGGAGGAACAAAGTGAGGAGGCAGAGGACCAGTTTACTTAATTGTACCCTTTGCTGGCTGTAGTTCCAAAGTCTCATAAAAGGCAGCAGATGGCTAAGTGACAAGTAATCAAATATTTGGAAAAACAAAATGACTCAGCAGTGCTAGTTGTCCCCCAGACAGAAGAGACCGAGCCTTGCGGCTGGGTCATAGCTCCTGACTCTCCCTGGGTGAGACGTTCTGTAGGAGGGTCCGGCTCTTGCGCTATGTTCTAATCACCATTACAGGGGAAAAAAAAAAATAGATTCTCTGGATTGTGAAACATGCACATTCCTAGGATCAATGCATTTCTGCTGAGCCAGGATGGTGTGAAGTGCCGTCTTGGGTGCCTTGGGACGGACGGTGCCTCCTACGTCTCATTCCCCTGTCAGATGTTATTCCCAGAGCAGTGCGTGCCATGTTGAGAAGAAGATGGAGAGTTGAATGCAACTAGCTCAGCACCTTCCACTGGAGGAGGAGAGAGGAGAGAGGGAGGAAGAGCAGGGATGAGAGGACAGGGGAGAGGGGCTTTATTTGGGGAGCGCTCGCTTTGTGGGGTGACTGGTAGACTCTCTGGACAGGTGCAGACGGTGTTTTTGTTAGCCTGCTTCCCGTTACGGTAATAAATATCTGAGATAATCGGCCCACAAAGAGGAAGAGATTCCCGGCTCACAGCCTCCTCCATTGACTGAGTCTGTGGAGAGGAATTAGCACACCACGGCAGGAGCATGCCAAATGCAGAGCACAGAGACAGTTAACCTGAGCTACTCGGAGCTCACGGACTCTTGACTGACAGCTAGGGAGCCTGCATGGGACTGACCTAGGCCCTCTGCATCTGAGGGATGGTTGTGTAGCTTGATCTTTTGTGGGGCCCCTCACAATGAGATCGGGTCATGTCCCTGGTGCATTAGCTGGCTTTTTGGAACCTACTCCCTATGCTAGGATGCTTCACCCAGCCTTGATGTGGGGTGGGAGGTGGTAGGGATTGGTCCTGTCTCAACTTGATATGCCGTGCTTTGTTGATTCCCATGGGAGGTCCGCCCCTTTCTGAACGGAGGAGTGGATGAGGGGATAGATGGGAGGTGTGTGTGTGTGGGGGGGGGAACAGGAAGAGAGGAGGGAGGGAAAACTGTGGTTGGTATGTGAAATAAATGGAAAAATTTAATGAAAAATAAATAAAAATTACGACTTCTCTTAGATATGGTGGAGGAGGAGGTTTGTTACAGGTGTGAGGGAGAGCATAGCCAGAGGCAGGCATGTCTGGGAGAGTCCCGAGTGATCATGGCTATACTAAGCTGGGCCATGTGAGGAGAAGGGGGAGGGGAAGGGGAAGGAGTCACCGACCGAGAGGGGTGGCTTGGACCGAGAGACTAGAGGGTAGACCAAAAGAGAAAAATGGCTGGATTATAGGGAAGGGCAGCTGGGGGAAGGGCTGCCCAGCCCCCGGGCTGGAGAAGTTTAGGGTAGGGTAGGAGTATGCCAGCCAGGAGGGCCCTGTAACGGGTAGGCACTGCGGGGCGCCGTGAGAACCGGCGGCCAGGTCCCTCTGCTGTGTTAAATAGACACCTCAGCCGATACTCAGAAGTGGTGTGGTCATCGATTGACATCTGAAAGTTGTCAGGTGAAAAATATGTCTGCAAGGTTTGGATAAGGACAGGTGTTGCTTTTCCTCCCTCCGAAGCCCGGAAGGATGAGTTAATGATCCTTGAAGGAAATGATTTTGAGCTTGTTTCAAATCCAGCAGCCTGATTTAACAAGCCACAACAGTGAAAAACAGCGACATCAGGAAGCTTTTGGATGGTGTTTTTGAGTGAGAAAAGGGACAGTGAGACAGCCCCAGAAACAAGACCCTGAACCATCGGTACGATTTGGGGTGTCTTTTGGGACATTGGAAGACTTGCGCTGGGAATAAGAAAGTGCTCTCATGCTTTCTCCCAGCGCATGGCTAATAGAGATAGTCAGTGCAGTCAGCTGCAGGGTAGGGCCCAGGGCTGCCCTGTGCTTAGCCTGTGTGTGGGCTAGGTCAGCCCTCTTGATGGCTATGAGTTTTCTGCACTGATGCCATGCCTGTAATTACAGTCTGGGTGTCTACTGAGGACAGCCCTGATAACTTTACATCTTGCATAAGGGTAAGCGGCTGTTAAGAGTGCCATCTATATATGCCTTACAGCCTGAATGAAACCCAGTTGGCACCGAGGGTTTGTGACATCTCCTTTGTCAACATGAGTATTTTTGTTTCTGTTTCTCTTGCTTTCTCATTATGGCATAATTTCATATGTAAAGAACTCAGGCTGGATAGATGACTCAGCAGGTAAAAGTGCTTGCTGCTGCATTGTCATGAGGTCTAGAATACAGATCCCAGCACTCATATAGGAAGCCATGTGTGCCACCCGCACACATGTGTAGCCCCAGCTCAGAGTCTGATGGAGGCAGCAGGATCATTTTGACCTGCTGGATCCCAGCCTAGCTTGTAAAATGAGTGCCGGGTTCAAAGAGAGACCTTG